ATTTGATGACACAAAAGGGTGTAATGCCAAATGCAATCACCTACACTACAGTTATAGATGCATATGGAAAGTCGGGAAAGGAGGAAGAGGCTTTGAAACTGTTTTACAATATGAGGAAAGCCGGTTGTGTTCTGAATACTTGCACCTACAATGCAGTGCTTAGTATGATGAAGATGTTGGGGAAAAAATCGAGATCCAATGATATGATTAAGATGTTATGTGATATGAAATCTAGTGGATGTTCCCCAAATCGAGGTCACTTGGACCACAATGCTTGCTCTTTGTGGGAATAAAGATATGGATAAGTATGTGAACTGAGTGTTCCGTGAAATGAAGAGGTGCGGATTTGAACCTGATAGAGACACATTCAACACGTTGATTAGTGCTTATGGGTGATGTAGTTCAGAGGTTGGTGCATAAAAAATGTTTGGTGAGATGACAAGATTATCAAATGAGAAAATACCTCTGATTAGTAAAGAGTATTTTTCTTTGTTACATATGAAAACACTCCAAATATGTTCATCGATTCTAACCGGTTTCTTTGATTTTTCTTGGTAAACCCATCAAAATAAATCAATCTTTATTTTGGTTATGACCAAACCGAGTTGGTCCCAAATAAGATTTGAGATTTATGCGGTTATAATCTACTTAAACCGGATTTTCTTGAAAACTTTAGATCGTTTTTAATCATCAAATGCGCGAATACACGACGAAGATGCAACACCGGTTTGGTTTTCTGAATGTTTAGTTGTATTGTTCAAGAGTGGTGTCACTGTATAACGAAGAAATCAATTCAAATAAATTAATAACAAGTAACAGTGATTAAAAGAAGAATCTAGTCTAATTTAATATGGAATCTTATTATAATGTCATAATGTGTTACGTCGTCGATTGAATAATTCTGATTTCTAAGGTGGCGTTGACGGCTATGGGCAAAACGATAAATTTGTCTCTCTCCAATGTGTCACATCTTACTACGGTTGGTTGTTTGGATAATTGATTGAAATGGCTTTTAGAACGTTTGTTCAATGTTTTTCAACCCCTTCTTCAACGTTTGTTCCATTCTTCAGGTTGTAAAAGAAAATTACTCTTTTACTCAGGGCCTTATACAGGCAGTTAAATTGATGGATTACCAAGCCAATGAAGGTAACTTTTGTATAAATTCTTTAATTAAACGTATATAATCAAATAGATTAAACGTATTAANTCTTTCGATTATCTTAGGTTTATGCTTATGACATAGGAGATGAAGGATTATGTAGCAACCAAACAGGTAAGAATCTAATTTGTTATGTGTTGTGGTGGAAAAACAAAAAAAAAATGTTGATCCAATTATGTGTTATTTTTAATATGTTTTTTCTGTCGTTTTGTTCCTTTTTCTTTCAAAATCAGAGGTTGTGGCACCAACCAATCTCGGGAAGCCCATCAAAGGCATAGATGACGAGGCTTTGGCGCTTACAACACAGATTTTTCTGTAATTTCTCCTGCTGCTGGCGAGAGTATCTCCAATAGTTGGTTGGTGCTACCAAGTTGTGGTTTTTGGGATCTACGTTACGAGGAACAGGATGATGGAGGTGTTGTCTAGGTCCCCCTTGGGATTCTACCCCTAGACAGAACTTCACAGAGAAAGAGACAGCAAAGGAGCCTTAGTTTGATGTAGCGATCTAAAGATAATATATGTAATAAAAATAACTCGTTCGGGTCAATGCATAAAAAAAAACTAATTTCGATTTTGTAATTTTGGTTTACTAATCATTTCAAATCTGTTGAGATTCATGTAAACATCTCTAACATGAATTAACAGATTTGACATAAATTTTTTCGATTTCGTAATTGTCGTATTTTATCATCACAACAGATTAGATATAAATTAATAGTAATTGTCGTATTTTATCATCTCATGTAAACAGTAATTGTCGTATTGTTGAGTTACTAATCATTTCAAATCTGCATAAAACTCATATATCAAGTTAACCAGTAGACATAAATTTCAAACAAAACATACTATTTTTTTTTTGTTTCAAAGGACTTTCCTTTGATACTCTTATTCATCATCATGCATCGGAGATTTGATGTTATGAGTTTGGTCATACTATATTTTTTTGAACAAATTTTTCACATCGTTTCCTTTTAAATCATCATTTGCTTAGGTCTCTTCATGTAGCCATGGATTCTTAAGATAGTAGAAATATATTTTTTCATTAATTCATCAAGCATAGTTACATATGCTG